GCCCCCTCTTTCGCCTTTACCTCACTCGTCGTGGTTTCCTTCTCTTTTTTGCCCTTTGACCCAGCTCACGGCCATGTCCGCGTCTCTCTTACCTTCGTTTTCCAACGTTACAAGTCACGCACACATGTTTCGAACTCACGGACAATTCTCTTGTTTCTTTATAGATTCTTTACACTCATATAAGAAATAATATGCTCAAGAGACGAAGTATTTATGACATATAAAAATAATCTCCTTTTTATTACTAATCTATGTGGTGAGCAAAAGGAAATGTCGGTATAAAATGAGTGATAAGATATATTTTTAGTTTGTTTACATCTAGTAAACATTTGTTTTGATAAAAAGTATAAACTTTGTTGTTTATTGGTGTTAATATAAAATATTATGGAATTATGCAAAAATTTTTTCTTCTACTCATTATTTAAATCGTCTTTAAATAACAAGGTACCTAAACATATACAAAACCTAAAAATTCATTTTTTTTCAGAAGATCGTTGACATAATCTTGAACCCGATTGGATAACTCTTATTAATAATGATTAACTCTTGAATTTTCATATTCACCACGCATTAAAATAAACTCAATTAATACATATTATTATCACTCTCCATTATGACTATATAATTTTAGCGAAATTTACATTTCACAACAATATGCGTTCTAAAATAAACCTTGCTTTTTAATAATAAAGCCCACATAATCCGTGTAGAGTTTTGCATACATTGTCCGTATTTTGACAAAATAGTTATTTTAATAAATTACTATGTGTTCCCTATGTTATTACACAAAATACAATCAATTGAAATATCTTTTACCATGAGTCCAGAACATGTCAACATTAGGAAGATTTCCTTGAAACTAGATTTGGAATACTTCCTGCTCTTTAGCCTGATTTTTTATGCTGCGGACAACCAGCTAACTTTCCATCTTTTTGGAGATTGTCCTGGCGGCCTTTTGGATGTTGGTCTGCAATCTTTGGAAATCCTTGGCAATCTATTCCATTCGTAAAACATGCTCATTTCAGAGTCACTTCAGCGTATTTTCAGCGATTACTCCCAAAATTCCATCTCGTTGGTACGAACCATTTTTTTTGTTTCCACTATGTCTGTCCACACTTCCGCAATATATGTCATTATTCGCCAGTTTTCTCACGTTCTTCTTGACATTACTAACTATTACCATAGTTTTTGTTTAGGTAACATTTATCTCCATGTTAACTTTTCCGTCTGTATTCTAAAAGCCTGTCCATATTTTAGAATAACTAATTCAATTGTATTTCTTGTCATATAGAGTCTATAGAAATACAATTTCATACATTTGAAATCATGGTTTCAGAGAAGTTGTAATAAATGGTTTTTATATTCTTGGTTGTCACAAGTTTAAGTGTTCGTTATAATAAAACTAAAAACATTTTACTAAAACTGTTTATTCTTTGATATGTTGTTGTAGACTGCTCAATTGAATGTATCAAAAGTCATACATTCAGTTCGTTTCATAACGGATATGCATCGTCGACAAGTATCTATTTGTTACATTATGCTGATGCATATCCGTTCAACTTACTTGTATTTCTTATTACATATTTAATTCTAATTATTTTATAGTTTTATTAATTCTTAATTTTCCCATTACAAAGCTATTTCAACACGTGGTTAACCATTCATTTTATAATGTTTGCAATTCGTTTTTCATCTGATGGCTTGGTTTTCCTTTCTTCTTCTCTCTGTTTGTGTTAGTCTCTATGAGGTATAAATGAAAATCAATCCCAATCGAAATCACCAAAAATTCAGTAATGTTTTTTTATTTATTTCTTTTCTATCTTGCTTGTACAGCTAAGCATTAAATGCTGAAAAATATCAACAAAATGAAAAAGATGAGATAAAACTTTTAATTTATGTCCTTAATCGATTTCGATTTTTTCAAAAATCATCTTCCGAAGGAAGCGCTTGAAAATTCTAAATGAAAAAGATTCGAAGACCAACACAGCGGAATGTTGTGCCGCCCAATTTAGCTATCAAGTAAATCTCTACTCTGGGCATATGATGGCATATGATTCCGTGATAACGTTTAGACAATCAATTTGAAAAGATGAGTATCACATTCGATGTGGATGTTATTCACCTGTTCCTCTGTCCTCGTCACCACCATAATTCTTCACCTTGTTCCATCCCCTTTAGAGTTCCCCCTCAAGTGCAGCCTGTTGCAATTTCCTCTGCGATGAGGACAACATCATCTACATGGCACATGATTGCTCTGAGATTGAACATGGGAACTACCAAAGTTTCTGTTCTTCTCTTGCATGTTTTCACCACTTCATCCATAAAAGCTATAAATAGCAATAGGGATAAACTGTGTTCCTGTCAAACACCTTTTTCCATAACGAACATGCTAGAAGTCTTCCCCTTAAGCCTCACCGCTCCTTCCACTCGCTGGAACATGGGCCTGATGGCCTGCATCAGTTGTGGGGGTCGCTTTTTACTTTCTTAATAATAGAAAAGAATGTCAAATATCGTTGTGGTTTTTCTTTTGCTGATATTTTCAAAGCAATTTCAATTCACAAAAAAGGATTTCCTTTGTTTTCTTAAATATTTATTCCAGATGGAAGGCGTAAAGAAGCCAGAGATAATGTAACAAGACTTAATTCTGCCTTTATTCCTCATCTCATTGGTTTTCCACTCGCTTATCTTTAGCATATCTTCACTCATTCATTTTCTATTAAGTATCTGTACATATGGAACACCATACATTGTTATGGATTCCCTTATCAACATTATGATTTCGTTTGTATTCCACAAAAATTTCAGCTCTCTTTTAGTATTTTTCTCATTATGGTAATCCGCTTTTATATTTTTTCTCGCCAGTAAAAGTGTAGAAAGTGATTCTTTCTTCGAACCCTCATGTTGTTATGATCTCAATGCGTAAAACATGTCACATGCTAATATCTTGCGTACATCACCTTCTAGTTTTAGCAATTTTTTGTACTGATCTTTTCTTATACAGCGATAATGCTTCTAACAATGTACCGAATGAACTATTGAATGTGTCGATTGTAAATCCATATTAAATAAAAAAAGGTCAGGTGTTATTGAAATGTGAGTACATGTCGCCTAATTAATTAGATAATCAACAGTGCATGATGAATTCTTCTTCGTAATGATAGGAACAGACATTGAGGGATCAAAACGCAACGTCACTATGAATAATTGACAGGTATAAGCGAGTCATCACTGTGGTAACTTTTCTAACGTCAAACTCTTTAAAAATAAAAAACAATTGATTGGCTCCACGTTTACTCTACGACACAGACTACTCTACGTGAACTTTCTTTCAGTTCTTACTAAGCTGGAACTGCTTTATAAAAAAGATGTAATCTTGATGAGTCAATATAGAAGCTATAATGGTATTCACTATTAAGCCGTGTGTCCACTACCAAGTTTTCTTGCGGAAGTTGCTTCCAGAAGTGAGTTCCAGAAGTTTTTGTCCTGTAAACACGACAAAAACATACGTGTTTACACGACAAAAACTTCTGGAAGTCACTTCTGGAAGCTACTTCCGCAAGAAACCTTGGTAGTGGACACACGGCTATAGAGTTGTAATTTTAACCCAGATCAGTTAAACGCACTGACTAAGGAGCACTATTGACGATTAGCAGTATTGACGACTAGGAGTATTATTGCTGCATCAGATGTCTCTGGGTTCAGCTGCAAGAGATTTTGTATGTTTTACCACAATAATTGCCTTTATGCCTTCTAGGAGCCCACTTGGACACTTTTTTATCGTATGCATATAAGACGTGCCTTGACCTTCTAATTCGCGGTCACTTCTCATATGATCACTTAATCACCCTTGATCATAATGAGATCAGGTTTACATAGACTGCCGACACTTATATACTCTAACCAACCCATTTCAACTCGACTAAACTATCTCCGGAGTTTCTGGACACAGATCTCATTCTCCAATCATTTGCGATATTACGAGTATTTCCCCAGTACACACATACGTATACGGCGAATTCAAAAAGCGCAGGGAAGATGGTCGTTTAGATATATAAATCCAAGTCCACCGTCATGGCTGTGATTTTTTTTACATGATGGATCTCCTACATGAATCAGACGGTCATTCGATTTAAGTACATCGCATGTATTGACCAGTGTCTGGACAGTGGAGGAGGTAAGATCTAATGATAAGCGATAAAACTCTCTTGTTAAACCTATTTTGTCAAATTCACAGGGGATAATCGGTGTATAGGTCCCCCTGCCCTATACGAGATGGGGATCATGTATGGTATTTTACTTGTTGCTAGAATTCCCCTCCAACTCCAAACTGAACCAAGGCGCAAAATTTTTTCTTTAAATCTAAAGAGAGGAGATTGGTAAGATCTCTTCCTGTCACGTTTGGCCCGAATAGTGACGTCTAAAGCAATGAAATTGCGGAGTACATCGTCCACACTCTTAAATCCTCGTTACAACTTTCATCGATCATCTAGCATGATGAACGTTCGACGCTTATACATACAGTAAAAGATGTGTTACGTCAGACATCTCGTGATATTGTGATTGGTCATTTTGAAAGTATATTTTTATTTTCATTGTTGGTGAATTATTCAAACGGTTTGAATAATATTAATTTCTAGGAATACAATTAAAAATTCTATTATTACAACATGAAATAGCAACATTTTATTGATTATTTATAATCCATGAAACTATTTTATGGCATGGTTTGGTAGAAATACTACTGTTTAAATATCGTATTTAATTCGGTTGAATACTAAAACCGTTGCCATGGAATCTATGTAATTTTACTATTCAAAATGTGTGGATTCATTTTGCGCATTACGTATAAATTTCTATATCTACATGAAACAATATAGCCAATCAGAAATTTTAATTTGTTGGTTTTTAATTTCATCCAAAATCCATATACTCAAAAGATTTTTTAGCAATACAAACAATAATTCACTTACAACAAAATTAAAAATCATTTTTTGTTTTAGGTATTCCAAGGTAACATAAATACTTACCTGGAAGCAAAAATTGAATTAGATCCACCAATATCAGCAAGTAAAGTTCGGTTTTACCCATACAGTCATCATAAAAGAACCGTTTGTATGCGCGTTGAATTATACGGTTGCAAATGGACCGACGGCATTGTAAGTTATTCAATGCCGCAAGGAGATAAAAGAGGTGCAAATTGGGAGTTTTACGATGCAGCTTACGATGGTCAATGGGATGGTCACGAATTAAAACATGGTTTGGGTCAGTTAATAGATGGTAAATACGGTAACGATGACTTTAAATTGGGATTTCGGGATGAAAGACAGAGTTGGGTAGGTTGGAAAAACGATAGTAGATCGAATAAACCTGTTGAAATAAAATTCGAATTCGACAAAGTGAGAGAATTTTCATCCGTACATATTTATTGTAATAATTTATTTACAAAAGATGTACAAGTTTTTTCGACTGCGAAAATTTTGTTTAGCGTTGGTGGTAAAAGATTTAACAGAGGTGAACCAATTACTTACGAATACATAGAAGATAGAATTTTTGAATATGCTAGAAATGTTACGATTAAATTACACCATCGAATTGGAAGATACGTGAAAATCCAATTACATTTTGCTGCAAAGTGGATGTTAATAAGTGAGATTAGTTTCGATTCGATTATAGCCCATGGAAATTTTACACCTGAACCGGAACCGACCACTATTTCTCCAGTAAAACACCACGAAAAAAATTCTAAAGAACACAATAAAATTGAAATTCCAATTCCAAATAATAAAATTAACGATTTCTTAGCATACATTGTAATAGGGTTAGTTGTTATAATCCTTCTTTTGGGTGCATTTATGTTTCTAATAATCAATCGATTTCGAAATCGAAAGTTTCTACGAAGTCCGAACAATTCAAATATTGGATTCCCTGAAAACACACTTCCTCATTTCCAAGGAGATTCCGGATACACCACCAGCGAAAAATGTAACGCAATAGAAGCGTATGGTGTTACTGAAATTGAAGATTGCCGAAGAAGTCACGGTTCGATTAAATCGAGTTTAAGATCAACTTTACCACTTCCACATCCTGGGTTGGATCATTTACAAGAAAGTAATGAATATCAAGAACCGTATCAGGCTTTAAAATTTGCACCTTATTACAGTTATAGTTCTGTTGTTATGGAAATGCAGGATGTTCTTATGAATAGTAATAAAAAATACGGTAAGTTTAAAAAAAAATTTATGATAATTTTATGAAATTTTCAAATTTATAGATGCGTATGATTATGCAATACCAGAAGCTGGTACTTTACCTTTATTGGGATCTGAAAAAGCAACTCTTCCATTAACTAGAAGTCGAGGAGGAAGTATAACATCGAAAAATTCAAGATTTTCAACGCAAAGAAATAGTCATGTTTCGGTATGTGTATATTTTTAAAGAAAATATTTTGTTTTAACTTTAATCGTCATTTTTATTTGAAGAATGGAGCACAACAAGAAGCTTTGGCAGCATTAAAGAAACGATTAGAAGAATCAACGTTACCAGAATTTCCAAGACACAGATTGCGAATGTTATCAAAATTATCAGAAGGCGCATTCGGCACTGTTTACATCGCCGAAGCGGATGGTATCGCTGAATACTCATCAACTTTAACTTTAGGTACTCGTCTCGTTGCAATAAAATTTTTAGGTGAAACCGCCACTGATAAAGAACGTAAAGATTTTCATCGCGATGTTCGAATCTTAGCAGCTTTAGAGGATTCGAATATGGCAAGAGTTTTAGGAATTTGTACAAACGATGAACCACTTTGTGTCGTTATGGAGTACACGGAGCACGGCGATTTGTGTCAATTTTTAAAGACTCACGTCGCCGAAACTAATAATACATTACCGTTTGGTGTAAAAACACTTAGTTTTAATTGTTTATTATACATGGGATCGCAAATTGCTTCCGGAATGCGATATTTGGAATCGTTAAATTTCGTACATCGTGATTTAGCGACGCGAAATTGTTTGGTTGGTAAAGCTTATCAAATAAAAATTTGCGATTTTGGGACATATAATGAACTTTACGTTAATGATTATTATAAAGTTGACGGAAACACACCACTTCCAATAAGATGGATGGCTTGGGAAAGTGTTTATCAAGCTAAATATACAACTAAAAGTGATGTTTGGGCTTTTGCGGTAACATTATGGGAAATTTTAACATTTTGTCGAAGACAACCTTATGATGGTTTAAACGATCCTTTGGTTATGGAAAATTTAGCACATATGCACTGTGATGACGGCCAATACATGTATTTACCAAGGCCGGTTAATCATAAAGATATAAACGATTTAATGTTGGAATGTTGGCGACGAAAAGACATTGAAAGACCCAGTTTTACCGAAATACATTTGTTTTTGCAAAGAAAAAATTTAGGGTACGCTCCAACGTAGATGTAAGAACATTTTTTAAAAAATAAATTTTGTGGGATCAAGATTAAGATTTTTAGATGAGAAAGATTTTTTTTAAAGTATGATTATTGTTGATGTTAAAAAAAACAGGGAATGAATTATTTTATTTTATAATTATATATATTTCTTTTATTAAATTGCAATAATTTTTTTAGTTTCAACTGAAAAAGTGAAGCTTAAACACGCAATAATTAATAAATTGTAAATAAAAGAACCCTTTTTCTATAAAAAAAAACTGTATTATTATTAAAGTTTAATGATAAAAGTCACGAATAGTTATTTTTAAATTTATTTTAAAGAAGATTAATGTATATAGAATACAGGGTGATAACGTGTATTATTACCATTGAGGTTATATTTTAAATATATGAAGTAACAACCATTAAGTAAATTGGATGATTTTAATACTTTTGAACGTGAATCTTACGCTATTAGAATAAAGCTGTGGTAATTTGTGGCAATTTTATTGCGCAAAAATTGTAATGTTTCTTTTTGTAATAATAGATTTTAACAGATGGCGCCTTATTAGAGAGAAATTCAGATAGAGACATGCAAATCATTTGGAGATTTGAAAGTCATATTGAAACGTTACCACTTTACCCTTTTGTTTTTTATCATGCCATATCATGTAAAGATTATACACTGCAATAGAGAAACTATCTTTTTGTCAAGAGATTAAGATGGTGATTAGAATGTAGAGGAAGGATTGCTGAAGTTGTTATTAGAAAGGGATTTTAAGGAACTTTATTGAAACCATCCTTATCATACCGGTACCCCTTATTTAGCCACTTAATTATTGATTATATTTTGTTGCCCTTATTTTTGGCCAAAAATCAGTTTAATGTAACTTGAGATCTTTCTGTTGTTTGAAGGTGGAGTTTTTTTTTGGCAGTAGAACAGATACATATCAGAAGCTAAATGCACATTATACAAGAACGCTCCATTGTAAGTACCTTTTACTAAAGTAGCATTGCGTAAATTTATCTTGTCACCAACGTAAATTAATATCTTCCGACCAATTGTGATTTTTAATGTTGGAAGTGATTTAAATTTCTGAAAACATGAATTTTGTGAAAAACAAACAAATTTGTGGTAAATGTGGCACATTACTTATTGAAAATGAAATTTCACAGAATTCGTTACATTCTGCTTAACATAAAGTGTTGATAAGACTATTTCGATTTCAATTCATTGCTCTAAATTTGATTTACAAACCATATTGACTGATATTGATTTAACTTGATTGGCCAAAAAAGTCGGAAACAAAATCAAATCGCAGATCGATCAACAATTGTGGCGACAATGGTATCTATCCGAATACCCTCAGTAGGCTCAGAGGATTCCTCAGGAGCACACTAGAGTACTTTAGAGTACTCAAGTTATCATAAATAAATTTACAAAAAATATAAAGTAAGTGCATTTATTATTCAGAATATACATGCCAATTTAGAATTTTTTTGTACTATTGTAAAAGGACAACAGCATCAGAATAAACAAATATTTATAATAAAGCACAAATACTAAATCAAGATAATCAGTGCAAAAATCAAGTACAGTAAAGTGTCTATTGACGCTGGTAATCAAGGAGAAATAGAGACAAAAACACGAATAATACAACCTAAGGGATTGAACAAAACAGCTATCTCTGCTACATAACTTTATTCTAAACCATGAAAGCATATACAAACAAAACACTTAATTTATTCTTAAAATAGTCGGTTATTTTCACACCTATCTTCTTTTCTCGTTAATTATCTTTTCTTTAATATTTGTTTTGTTAAAATACGAATTTTTAAAATGTCTGTATGTCAGTGAAATGTTGCTGTTCCATAACATCTAAGAGTTTTAGCACCTTTCTTGCTGCTAACTTTAGATTCTGATTTTGATCCGTCACCTTCTACTAATCGGCACTAGATTCCTGGAGTGAACTTGGTCCAGGCATTGTTTGGTTACGTAGACCAACACATTCGAGTCAATATTTAACCACAAATAATTTCTTGAAATTTCTTTCTTCATCCAGTTCTTCTCGGCCCTGAACATTTTTTAACGACTGGAATACATCTAAATCACTATCAATTTCATGTTTTTCAGCTGATTCAACGCATAAAATGTTATTAAAAAACTTTTGTAATTGTGGCAACTCCAATATTTTATTGGACATACAATATGTTGTATGCTATATCTCGAAGCGTAATTGATTTACAAAACTGTAAAGGAAGATCGTTATCTTTTTGCGACCAGATACATTAGTAAATTTTTGCTGTCTAATCTCTTCATTGTTTCTATTACGCCTTAATTCATAGGTCAAATCAGGCCGGTAATACCGGTTTCACCTAATGTATGAGATGCGGCATTATCAAAAAGCACTACTGCTCAATTATATTGCTTTTTGACCCGGGTGACCTTTGACATCTACATAATTTTTTTCGAATGGAACAAATTTATCTTTAAACTACATATAAAAATTTCCCCTATCATCCACGCAGAATGGTGGTGATAGTATTCAACTGGCTTTAACTTCCTTAATACAGCTAATTTTAGTTTATGTTCCCCAGTAGCATTTAAACGACAAAAGACTGTAATACGATATGTATTCATAACGGTTTTTCGTTAGTAGCTAATTGTACGCCAATAAAGGCCGATCTCAACAGAAATGTATATTTGGGCAGTTACTAAACCGCTTCCTTTAATCACGTTCAATAACGTGTCACAGAAAAACTTTCTTTCAATCATAGCAACTAACGGGTTGAAAGTGTAAGTCTTTCAATGATTATATTTCTACAAAGTATTGTGCTTTAACATACGGACTACTTTAACCTACGGACGGGACATCGACTTTTCTAGTGTTCTTTGCTGAAAAAGACACTTCACCATTACATTTTCCAGTTGCTCATTCTTTGCAACTGTCATTGCTTGCCAAATTCCAGCTGCTGTTTCATATACCTAAAAGAATTTTTCAAATTTGGGCTGCTGTTCACAACATCCCATATGGTTTTTTTATCCAACTCCTTTTCTTCTCTTGTCTCTACATTTGTCTTTTAATCATCTCTTATATATATATATATATATATATATATATATATATATATTTCCACTTTTAAAACTATCCGTTCTCGCTTAGGAACCATGCTAAGTACTAAAGGAAAATTACATTTCTAAACAATGTAGTAATAGCATCGCGATGCACAACGGTGCCTACGCAACAAGAAGTTACCCACAAAGAATGAAACTACTGACAATATCAGTAAAAATATAATCTGAATAAATGCGTATTCCGTTTTTGTTTTTGTTTCACCTCTTCATGAAAAACAACCCAAAATATTTATGTTGCAACCTCTGTACTTTTCCACACATTTAGTAAATTTAAATTTTTATTCTACGTAATACCCAAAATAGCAGTATATTTTTGCTGTATTATAACGTATAACATTCCACTTCATTTTCTTTTGTGAATGGCTCTGTCGCACTACTTAATCGCTATTATAGTGACCTTGTTAATATATGCAGAAAGTGCTGATAACTTGAAAGTGAGTGATAACTTCCTTTGCTATCCAACGAACATTTACAGTTTTTTGTCTATTTAATCCCACAATTATGACGCTTTGAAAATCTTTTCAGAGATTCCTCTAATTCACTTTCTAAAGAAGCGCTTAAAAACTAATTATTGAAACAAATTTTATGACATAATTGGTTGGATACAATTTTTGATAAGCTTTTTACCACTACTTCCACCATCAGCTGATCACATATCACTTTCAGAGTGTAAATTTAATAAAAAAAAACTTTAAAGCCACATTTTTTAGTGTTTTGTGCATATCCTCTTTTAGTTGTGTCTTTCTTTTCAATGATATTGACTTATTAACACATAAGTGATCAGCTAATTTTACCAATTTGTACCGAATTGGTTTATGTTTTATAGCCATCCACAACTGTCCATATTTTGGGTGATTATTGAATTCTTATACAAAACCAAAAGCATCATAACATCAGCTACATGAGATGGCTTGCAAGGCATTAACTTTAAAATTCATGTTGAGTGCTGTCAATCATCATCAACATTTTTATTGGTTAACTCAAAGACGTTATATAATTAAGGCTTTATATTATCTTATGAGAAAAGTAAAATTATTTGGTAAAATGTCGATATAATAAAATTTTTTTTAGCTATCCATACCTTACAAATTCGCATTACGAAATATTGTTGTAGTATTTCTACGCTATGTATCGCGAAATTGAATTTGTGCTTCATTGCCCTCCAATATTTGTTCATCCTGATGCTGTATTCCTGCACTCCTCAACTGGATTGAAAATATCTAAATTGATTTTTGGATCCTGCAGGTATTTTGCTGCATTGTGGAGAATAAATAATGGAATCAAAACAATTTAATTTCTTCCAACTGTACATATTGTATTGATTTTAATAATTTTTTAGAAAAAAGTATTGCTGTATATTACCTTGAACACCAAATTTTGTTATGAAAATAACCCATTAATTTACAACATACTCTGATAATGAAATTAGCAATACCAATCACAACTAATCAATCTCTGTTTAGAGGATGAAGGATTGCAATAAATGCTACTCGGATACAGCAAATGCTACAGTTTTCTTTTTGTAAAGTTTATTTACTTATATGATAAGTTATTTCAGTTCGAATATGTAAATGTTGACCAAGATATTTAATTTACATAATAGAGCAGAATGAGATTAATAAAATAACATATAAGTAGATCTTAACGGCTTTTCTAATAATAAATTTCTTTCATTTCTGATGAATAAGATAATAAAATTTTTACTTCAAATATTTAAACATAACCTCGATGATTATTACGAACAAAAAAAATAGGATATAATAAAAATGTATCTTTTGTAGAGTTTATTTGAAAGCTTTTCCGCTTGTAAATAATTTTTGATTTGTAAAAAAAAATACATATATTTATAATTTATTTTAACATTTTTCTGGTAGTGCTTGCTAGTTGCTGATTAAACCAAAGCTTTTTCAAACACAATATAACGAAATAAATTCCTTATTTCCCATTATTTTTGTGTGCCAAAAACTAAAAAAAAAACATGCAATACAAAAAAAGTAATCTCATCTATTTTTCATCTAATATTTATAAAATTGAAAGAAAAAATAAAGGTAAAAAATAGTATTAGAATTTAATCAAGTAATTAATTAATTAATTAACCTTTTACCTCAATCGCAAAATAGAATTGAGTCATCACACTTTAGTACAACTCTTTTGCACGTTTTGTTAAAAAAAGTAAAAAATACAAGCACTACCTTTTCAACGCGATGATAATCACAATGATTAGAGAAAAATAAATACTAATAGAGCACTTTTTGTGATTATCACTCGTAATGTGTAACGAACGAAGCTTATTTCTTAAGAAAAAAAAAATGATGAAAAACTTTCACACTGGCACAATAATACGAGACAATGTATAGCTATTAAATAAAAGATAAATGTTATATATACACTATTATACTAGTCAATTGATTCGCCTATGTAAAACTGTCATCGATTTTTTAATAAGACAAAAAGGCTTCAAATTTGTATTGTTATTTTCATTATAAAACTTATTCTTTATTTTATTAATTTCTATCAATTAATCGAAATAAGAGTGCCTGTAAAAAACTTTTAAGTTATATTATTGATTAATAATTTGTAAATATATATTTATGTACATTAAAAGAACATTCCATTTAACACAAAAATATTTTCGACTAAAAAGGCACTAAATCTATTCTTGTTTTCATTTTGTTTTTAATAATATTTTCAATAATAATAATATTTTTATCGTTGTGATTTCTCCGCAAATAATTGTCAAAGTAACATATCAAATTAATAAATTGATTATTGGTACGAAAAACATTTCAAAATCTTTTATTTTCCCTTTTCTAATTGTTTTCCTATTACATTAATCTACTTAGTTCATAGTAATACATAAACTGTAGTGCGGTCTTTCTCACGACAGGGTTGGGCGACAGGAAAACGCACAATGGAATCGAACAGGTTATGTTGAAGACTTTTAACTACAATAATGAATACAGATTTATTAATCACTCTTGTTGGAGAAAGACCTGTATTGTGGGATAAAACTCTTAAAGACATTACTTGATTTTTCGGGAAACACAAAAAACTTTCATCACGTCTTATTCAAATAGGCATTTGCGCAAACTTAAAGCCAACATAGTAGTGATTGAAGTTTGTTTGCGTCTATGTAGAGTGTAGACCGTTTAGCCGTTTTACCTTGGCAGCGTCGACATGCTAGGAAGAAATAAGTCACATTAAACAGCGACTTCAAAAACATTGGTAAAAAGGAGAAAAAGACATTGTATGAGTAGTATATAGGTAGTCTTTTTTATTAAATATTAATAGTATTATTGCCAACTGAGTTTTCCCTACTAAGAAAGAGTCTGCCAAAGTATTTCTGCACATTACCTTTTAAGACAACTAATTTTCTGAAAGATCTGTCTGCTAAACTAGCTCTACTCGGTGATCATATTAAACCTCCAATAATAAAGACAATAAACGCTCCAGTGGAGCAAACGAGCAAAGGCTTGTGTTGAATCTTACAAACATTGATTTTACTAACGTGTAGTTATTCAAAGACTCTATGTATTTATTCTTATCGTTGAAAAAAGTTACTAACTGTAACTCAGTATTTGACTGCTTTTTATCAAATTTAGGCACTGAAAATACGAAAAAATCCTGTTCACTTTCACTTGAAGTGCTACTACTCGGTTCTTGGGATTATTCAGTTGCAGTTTCCATTGCATTAATGCACAAAAATTTTTAATTCGCTTTCTCTCTACTTCTAATTTGTCAGGTAACCATCTTGATTTAATAGCGAAATGAAAACAAGCAGCTTGTTTTTTAGCCTGCACAACAGATGCATGTTGTGCAGCATGCATTTGAATCATTTACTTCAGGCGATAATTGAAAAAACCTTCAAAATCGTGTTTCCAATGAATTTGTTAGTCCATTAACCATAAGCTAGCATGACGAAGATTTTGTTCTAGCACAATTTTCAATCTTTGTCTCATGTCAAATAAAGTGGGTAATAATTGGTCATAATAACAATCTATTTCCCTTTGTAAATTATCCAATGCTGTAGCAGTGGGTCTCATGACCACACAAAATTCTGTTAAATATTGAAGTTTCTACCTCTTTAAATGTAGGTAAATTAAGTTTATTGTTTAAATCATTTAATAGAGATTTGTATTTTAAAAGATGAGTTGTTGTGTCATATAACGAATTCTATCTTGTTGGGTAAGGGTACATAAGACTGAAGGCTAAAATGTCATGTAAATATAACTTCAGCTGATTTAGGTTTTCTTAATAAGTTCCATAAAGCAGTGCACTTTGCGAAAGCTGTTTTTAATTTTTGGAAATTGGTTGTTGCTGACAAGATTAAAGTATGGCTTGCACAGCTTAAGAGATTTGGTAACAACATTCAGTTCTGCAAATTATTATCTTCAACATCAGATATACTGATAAACTGAAATTCTTAAGCAACACTTTCTGTTTATATTGTATCTGCATCTACTAAAACAAAAATTTTACTTATTATAATGACGACCAAATAAAATACCCCCATATATATTTATGAATATCCTTATGTGCAAAAAACCCATTCATAATTCTTAAGCAGTATTTCTTCATGATTTTATCCATGACCTCAGCGAGTTGAATCACGACAGCAACTTCTACTCCGGCTCTTTCCGATTTATGGACACCTGACCAAATTTAAAAATTGTTTTCTAGTTCCTCAGTGCCTTTCCCTTTCTTTTTGTTTCGAGCAGTACTGCGATGTCGACCCTTTGGTCCTTCAAGGCATCTATCACCTTTGTTTATTTTTGTGCTATACTCTGTGTATTCCATGTTACCAGTCTTAAAGTCCATCATTGTGGCAGCTTCCGTTAGCATTTATCCATCAAATTCCGAGGTTTGTTGAAAGTATTGAAAGCAGAAAAATTATAGGATGCCTTAACAGTCTATGGTGGGACAAGAACATAAGAAGAGGAACTAAAAAGAGACTAGGAAGAACACTAGTAGAATCAGTCCTGGGTTATGGTACTGAGATATGTAGAGATGGACTATTTGAGAAGAAACGCCAGGGTGTCAAGAATACAACGAACAACTAATGACGAAATTCGAAATCGTAATGAAAACAACGTCAACAGTGATAGGACAGAATCAAAGTAGGGGGTTTACGGTGGTTTGGACACCTGATGAGGATGAATGACAATCGCTGGCCGACGAAGTTATTTAAATGGGTCGGGTTGGGTTGGTAGTATTTATTAACAAATAAATCTAGGAAATTTACAAAATGTTTCTTTCAAATAATACTCTTAAAAAAACAAATTAGATATAATTTAATTAGAGAATTAATATAATTAGACATAATTAAAAAAAAATCAAAGTATTACTTTAAACTGTAAACAAAAAGCAGAGTTTGAATGAACTTTAAATTTACTAAATTTACTTCCTAAATTCTTTACTCTTGATCCCCGCCATCTAGTAATCATGCCCTCAAACTAAAACTTACTAAGGCTGATTAGCGAACTCTAACTTAATGTATTTATTAATAATGGTTGTAACATTTTATTTATAGTTTATTAATCATAATTACATTTTAAATTTTGTATTATAACCAGTATTATATATTAGTTATAAACGAAAACAAAAAGTGTTGTTAAACCGATTTTTTAATTATTTTTACCTACCTTATGTTTCGCTAATAGATGGCACCGCTTACACATGACAGTTTACCCGTCTGTTGTCAAACATTTTAAAAGTTAACGGAAATTTAAATCCTTTTTTAATCTAACCAACTGCATTAAGTTTTAGATTGGTTGTTATTTTGAAAACTGTGTGTATACAATATGGAAGTGAAAAATACGGGATTAATGAGAAAACCATCCAAAAAAGCACCAGTTGTGAAACAAACCAAGGGTAGTTTATTAAGAATGATTAAATCAAACCCTTTGATAGGTATTGATGACAAAATAAAAAAAGAATTAGGGATTACTGATGAAGAGTTAAAACGATTAGGACATATACCAATAGTAAAAAGTACAATGTCGTTAAATATCCATAAAAAGAATATAGACGAAGATAAAACTAAAAGTAATCGTGTTGTTAAACGATCACTTTCTGCAGAAAATTTTAATGAAAGAAGTCGTTTATCAAGTGGAAAAGAGTTAAACAGAACTTACTCAGAAGAAAATATAACCAGCAACCAATCAGACAAATTATACAATTTCAAAACCCCCCAAAACAAGAAATATTTCATCACAACTCCATCTACAATAACAACAAATCCTAAAAAATATCTTGTTTCACCAACTCCAGAAAATATTAAAATGAATCTAAATAAGTGGTTAAGTAAACGAGGGAAATCCATGGGAGCATATCATCATTTAAAATACTTCGGTATTCCCCTCGATGAGATTGAAGAAGAAAAAGAAAATATTGAACAAAAACCACCTCGATCAGAAAGTTATGAAGCACTCCAAATACCACCTAAAGAAAGCGAATATGATACGAACGCAAATTCCAACATTCAAAGTCCCTTTATTGATTATGAATTTATTGCTAAAGATGCATTAAACGATTTATATAAATTAATTCAAGATGGTTATTCTTCGGAACAATGCAGCGAATGGCTCACGATGATTCGAGATAAATGTAAAAATTTAGAAGAAGAACCAACTTATTGGGAATGTCGAGCTGCATTAGAAGAACAAAATGAAAACCTTCCCAATGCAATTTTGTATTATAAAACAGCAATTATAAAAGGGGCTGAAATTGAAAGTGTAAATGGTTCGCTGGATATGCTTTTAGAAAAGTTTAGTTTGTTAAATATCACTTCTTCTGTAAATGCTAAAGAAGATAAATCTAAAAGGAGGGTTATTATGGATGCTAGAAATGTTTTTAAATCAACGATAATACAATTTGCTGTACAGGAAAGGGATAAAAAGAAAAATGTGGGCAATAAATTAGTTACCCCAGTCAGGAGAAGTGCAAGATTATCTTGTTATTCAAATTCTAAAGGTGTCAACTTGTGTTCATCATTTAAGAATATTGAAGACAATGATAATGTTAATTTTAAAAGTAATAAGTTTTTATCTGTGCGATATAATTAAATTGTGTTTTAATGATTTTATATGTATATTACTTAATTTTACCCAATGTCTTGTGTTTTATTTAATATATTTTGTGTATTGTATTTATAAATTGATATATTTGTTTTGTTAGAAATAAAGCTTATGTGTTCATTTTTAATTTTTGACTATTTCTTCTAAAATCACATTTAGTTCTTCAGTCCCTTGTGGCTAAATATCACAAAGTAACCATAAGTTTTGTTTTACCATTTATGGTTTGTCTTATATTTGTACGTGATTTTAATCAATTCTTAGTTCCATGTCAACCAAATTATTGGCCCTCAATTTCCTTTCAAGTATCCACTTTCTAACCCACCATCGCATTTTCTCCCGTTTTTCTTGGATTTTGACAACTGTGAGTGTGCTAAGATAGCACCAACAATTGAACTCACCACGCACAAATCTTGATAAGCAGCTCATTCATGGTCGACTTTCCACTGTTCATAAGTGAGGTCCCTTCAGCACATGCACATAAGCAAGTACGAAGGCGTGATACACTTTCGTTTTATTGTTCCATGGGAATACTATTTCGGTGAAGTAAGTAGAGTGATAAATTGCTAGCTAAAATAGTGTCACCAGTGCCGGCCTTAGGATTCGGAGCACCCATGGTAAGATATTTTTTGGCGCCCTTTATTTCTTAGTGTTGTACTTGATTTTTTTTACGACCAATAGATACTACTACTAACAATAAATAAACCCATGAAAAACTTATTTAAAGTTTTTATTCCAGAGTTTTTATACAAACGGAAAAAATATGTCAGCGCATCAAATTTGATATCAAAGAATGGAAACTAAAATATATGAATTCTTTAGTAATTTGTTATTAACTTTAAAAATCAATATCGATACCAATCAACAAAATTTAACTTTTCTAGCTTTTCCATCGGAAAATTCTTTAATTAAGGTAGAGAAATTAAGATTTTCTGCAATTTCATTTTCGATTGATAACCTAGTGAGACTAGTTAGTTGTTTGCGGTATTGTTGATGGCAAGGAGGTCTGTATTAATTTTAGTTTCAAAAAACTGCGTTCTCCAATTGCAACTGTTACTGGTATTGTTAGCAGAATACGTAAAGTTATACAGGCGTTAGGAAACAACTCTTGAAGTGACTGATTTTTAAAAAATTCAAAACTTCGGTTGTGGTTGTCTTTCAGATAATGTTGCTGACTCAGCTTAATATCCGATTTAGAGTTGAATGATAGTTTTTTTTGTAGTGCAGAACAATGATTCAACAGTTGTTCTTTATTTTGATTTTCGTTTATGTCAAACAAAAAATGCAAAGTTTCAGAAAAATCTTTAAGTTGACTAAATCTTTGTTTTATAGATATAAGCACCATGTCGAAGAGATTATTAAAAAATTGTACTTCAAACATTTTTTTGGGGTCATTTATTGGTTCATCATGAGCCCCTTCACCCGGTTGGCACTTAATGCGCCTTAGTCGCTTTTGGGGTTTAAAAATTGGCTATACATTTAGTTCGGATGCTATTTCAGTTTTTCGAAACCTATTTGACGGTAATTTTCTAATCTTTCTGCTGAGGCCATCATGGTTGACTCCATGCACTTTTGTAGTGTCGAGAATACGTTATCTAACTTTTCTTTAGTTACTGCGTCGAAGGCCCTTTTAACACAATCTATTAATTCATTCATATTTTTTGGCGATTTTGATGTTTTGAGAATTTCTGACTTGAACCTAAGAAATGGTGATATCTATGGTAGCATTGGTTATGAATTATGATATCTTGATTCATTATCATTAATTTTTATGCAAACGTTTTTCTTTATTACCTTTTATTTTTTGCTTATAACAGAATTAACATAGATGATTGTCAATTTTGATATTTTAAGAATTCCTGGCTTGAACCTAAGAAATGGTAATCTAAGGTCGCATTGGTTATGAATAATGTTATCCTGATTCATTATCATTAATTTTTATGGGAAACGTTTTTCTCTATCACCTTTCATTTTCTACTTATAATAGAATTTAACACAGATGATTGTCAATATTGATATTTTGAGAATTCCTGACTTGAAACAGAAATGGTGATATCTATGGTGGCATTGGTTATGAATTATGTTATCTTGATTCATCATCATACAATTTATGGGAAACGTGTTCTCTATAACCTTTAATTTTCTACATATAACAGAATTTAACGCAGATGATTGTCAATTTTGATATTTTGAGAATTCCTGGCTTGAGCCTAAGAAGTGGTGATATCTATGGTGGCATTGACTATGGATTTTTATCTTGATTCATTATCATTNACAAATCTTGATAAGCAGCTCATTCATGGTCGACTTTCCACTGTTCATAAGTGAGGTCCCTTCAGCACATGCACATAAGCAAGTACGAAGGCGTGCTACACTTTCGTTTTATTGTTCCATGGGAATACACCTTAAGGTCTACTATTTCGGTGAAGTAAGTAGAGTGATAAATTGCTAGCTAAAATAGGGTCACCAGTGCCGGCCTTAAGATTCGGAGTGCCCAGGGTAAGATTTTTTTTGGCGCTCTTTATTTCTTACTGTTATACTTGACTTTTTTTACGACCAATAGGTACTACTACTAACAATAAATAGACACATGCAAAACTTATTTAAAGTTTTTATTCCAAACACAGTTTTTATACAAACGGAAGAAAATATGTCACCGCATCAAACTTGATATCAAAGAATGAAAACTAAAATATGTGAATTCTTTAGTAATTTGTTATTAACTTTAAAAATTAATATCTATACCAATCAACAAAATTTAACTTTTCTATCGGAAAATTCTTTAATTAAGGTAGATAAATTAAGATTTTCTGCAATTTCATTTTCGATTGATAACTTAGTGAGACTAGTTAGTTGTTTGCGCTATTGTTGATCGCAAGGAGGTCTTTATTAATTTTAGTTTCCAAAAACTGCGTTCTCTGCGCAGTTTTGTGCTGCGGTTGGCACTTAATGCATCTTAGTCGCTTTTGGGGTTTAAAAATTGGCTGCACATTTAGTTCTGACGCTATTTCAGTTTTTCGAAACCTATTTAACAGTAATTTTATAAATATCAGCAAAATTTTTTAAGCATTTCTGTAAATTGAACGAAGTCAATATTAGGTAATTGACTTGCCTTGCTCACACCATTGATTTGAAAAAGAACATCGTACCATGTTACAAGAAAAACTCGACAAAAAAAGCAAAAGACACTATTGCTCGATACCGAATAAACTAAGCACCGACGTTGGATAGTTTCTCCATGTAAAACTTTTCTTGAGTAACAATTTACTGAAAAATGGCGTCCATCCTCATCCTTGGTCCTCACATTATAATATGATCCCTCATGCTTCTATGTTGTAATACTGGACTTGATTCTCGGGCGATTCAGATACAGTCACGCTGTAAAACTGCTCATCTGATATATAGTTCAGATTCTTGTGCTTGGTCTAATTGTTTTGAACCAGAAGAAATATTAACCAATACTTCGCTTTCGGGTTCAATTGTGAAAATTTTGACTTCTGAGTCTACAGCTGAAACAAAACTTTCTTGAGGCTTTTCTGGTATGTACTCCCTCTGTTCCAAATTATGGTATACATTTCTCTTTACAATTTGTGTAAAATTATGGTATACAACACTTTGGAAACTGCTTTATTGTATTTCTAAAATTAGTAAATCTTTTTAAATCTTTTTTGTAACTTAATTAAACATACATTACTGACATTTTACACATTTAAACACAATTCAGCTGGTTCAATGTAAACGCCCTTCATGGTGAAGCTTTTCTTCATTCATGAATTTTCATATTTTTCTCGATATCGATGCGTCTGAGAGCAAAAGCGTAAGAGAGTGCAATTTTGTTAAGAATACAATTTGCTATAACTTTCGTTCGAAAAGTTTTTATGTAGCATGCTCAGATTGAAATTTATTCAATTTTATAATTGTTGCCTGCTTTAGCAACTTTTCTTTAGTTAAAGCGTCGAAGGTACTTTTAACACAATCTATTAATTCATTCATATTTTTTGGCGATTTTGATGTTTTGAGAATTTCTGACTTGAACCTAAGAAATGGTGATATATTGGTTATGAATTATGATATCTTGATTCATTATCATTAATTTTTATGGGAAACGTTTTTCTCTATCACCTTTAATTTTCTACTTATAATAGAATTTAACACAGATGATTGTCAATATTGATATTTTGAGAATTCCTGGCTTGAAACAGAAATGGTGATATCTATGGTGGCATTGGTTATGAATTATGTTATCTTGATTCATCATCATATAATTTATAGGAAACGTGTTCTCTATCACCTTTAATTTTCTACTTATAACAGAATTTAACGCAGATTATTGTCAATTTTGATATTTTGAGAATTCCTGGCTTGAAGCTAAGAAATGGTGATATCTATGTTGGCATTGGTTATGAATTATGTTATCTTGATCATAATCATTAATTTTTGTGGGAAACGTTTTTCTCTATCACCTTTAATTTTCTACTTATAACAGAATTTAACGCAGATGATTGTCAATTTTGATATTTTGAGAATTCCTGGCTTGAACCTAAGAAATGGTGATATCTATGGTGGCATTGACTATGGATTATGTTATCTTGATTCATTATCATTAATTTTTATGGGAAACGTTTTTCTCTATCACCTTTAATTTTCTACTTATAACAGAATTTAACGCAGATGATTGTCAATTTTGATATTTTGAGAATTCCTGGCTTGAACCTAAGAAATGGTGATATCTATGGTGGCATTGACTATGGATTATGTTATCTTGATTCATTATCATTAATTTTTATGGGAAACGTTTTTCTCTATCACCTTTAATTTTCTACTTATAACAGAATTTAACGCAGATGATTGTCAATTTTGATATTTTGAGAATTCCTGGCTTGAATCTAAGAAATGGTGACATCTATGGTGGCATTGGTTATGAATTATGTTATCTTGATTTATAATCATTAATTTTTGTAGGAAACGTTTTTCTCTAGCACCTTTAGTTTTTTTAGTCATAACAGAATTTAATGTAGATGATTGTCAATTTTGATATTGTGGGATTTTCTGGCTTGTGCATAAGAAATTGAGATAACTATGGTGGTATTGCTTATGAATTATGTTATCTTAATCCATTATCATCAATTTGGAACCAATCAACTTGGATCTAATGGCTGGTACAACGTTATCGATAATCATGTTTTTAAATACTTAAGTGTCTTTATAGAGTTGTTCTAGTGAAAATAATAGCTGTTCCAGATTGCTTTAGGTATAATGAGTATATATTTGTAATATGGAATTGAAAATAGAAAAACTATGGACACAGCAATCAATTAGACATTTTGGTAGCCAAACCTATTTTTAGTTATAACTTCGTAATGCTGTATCCCATAATTTCGATTTCCTAGAACAATAACTAGAACAACCAGAACAACGAAGAAATTTAGTTTTTTTTAAAAATGGGGGGCTAGTCAAAAAACCCGTTTTTTCGGTTTTTCTCGCCGAGTTTTTATTTTTTCTATTTGCCGCTTTGGAACGATGTAGAACAACTCTAGAACAATCTAGAACAACAATGAAAAATTTTAAAATCAAAAAATGGGGGCTAACTTCCCTCACTTGATTGTAACAGCTCCTTTGTTACTTATGAGGTCTTGCAAATTAACCACCAAAGTGATTTCTACAATTTTCAAGAGAAACCATCGCTATTTAACCGTCAGGATTGCTTTTTAAATTATTATTTTAATTTAAATAAATATAGTTTTACTTTACTAAAATGTTAACGAATAGTAACAAAAAATCAATTTATTTTCGACTGATTTACTTAATCTACTTAAACAATTATTATTTATCTCTTTAATTATTTACATTAATACTTTAATAATACACCTAATTTATTGATACAGTCGTTTTTTATCATCAAAAATAAACCTTTTCATCACTAATTTAACAACAACTTTTCCCTCATGATCCACATTTTGATCATTTTCACCACTCCCATCAAATACAACCTTAACTTTTCCACTTTTTCCAAACCCACCATCAATTTTTCCTCGCCTTCCATCCGAACTAGTAACAAAAAACCCAATAAACATTCTTAAATCGGTTTCTTTCTTAAACATATTCTTAACAATAGCAACATTGGGGTCTGAATACCGTTCGATGATTCCTTCTTTATATTTGTACCTGTAAATCTTTAATTTTTGGAAATACGTTGATTTAAAATCGTTTAAATCTAAAGAATAATCAATGATGGTACCCCAAAATGCAATTCGACAAACATTTGGGGGTAAGTCTGGTTTAAAACCAATTACACAAGTGTTTTCAATAATCGATTTAGTCTTAACAAATTCAAATAATACAAAATGATTTATGTTGTTATCAATTTTATCATCTTTGTTACAAGTTAGATTGTCGATGTATTTATATTCTTCTTTTATATTAAAATCTCCACAACCAGTAAAAATTGCTATAATTTTAATTAATGCATTTGAGTGTCCAATCATTAATTCATATTTTCCATTCACTTCAATGGGATATTTAAAATATTTAATTCGATTTAAAGAGATCACCCCAACTTTTATATGTTGAACCAGACCTGGTGAACAAACCAATGCTCTATTTATTTCTTGGTGATTCTCAATATTTGTTACACAAATCGCGCCACGATCACCATGGGATATTTTTTCAACTGGTTTTTTAAAAACTTGTATTGATTTGACTTTACGATTATCATCAATTGGTTCAATATAAACCATCTAAAAAATAACTTTGATTTAATCTAAATTATTTAAAAATGTATTTAAAATAAAATTACATCATTTACTTGAAGAGTTCCTTCCAACATTGTTCCAGTTAATACATAACCATTACCTTTAATTGGAAAACAATGATCAACAGAAAATTTACATAAACCCTTTGGATTTCTTTTTGGAACAAACGATTCTTTTAAAACAACATTAATTAAATCATCAATTCCTAATGGATCATTTTTAAGAGGTAATCCAATGGGAATTATTGGAACATCTTTAAAAATTGTTGTATTTAAAGTCTTTCTAATTTTTTTACTCATCTAAAAATAACTACATAAATAAAATCGTTTTGGATTTAATTCTCAACACCTTTTCAATAACACCACCCCTTTTATTCTCCTCAATACAATCAATTTTATTTAAAACAACAATCATCCCACATCCAATAATCTCCCCGATCACAATACATTCAGAAGTTTGGGCTTGAATTCCTTTTTGTACATCAACCACTAATAGAATCAAATCAATAATCCCAGCACCTCCAATAATAGTTTTTAATAAACTACCATGCCCGGGGCAATCAACTAAAGTAAAAATAATCTCTTTCGCATCAGTTTCTTGCTTTAAATGTTCAGGAATCGGAAATTTGCATGCACTAAATCCTAAATCTAAAGTAATTCCTCTCGTTTGTGCCTGAGGGTCCTTATCGAAAGCTCCGGTGCTCGCAACGTGACTTAAAGCTTTCGCTAAACTCGTTTTGCCGGCGTCAACATGTCCCATAAGTCCAATGTTTAAATTTAGGGTCATTTTTTTGGTTTGAATTTGCCGCCAAAAAGATCCGAGTATCGATCGAGTGAACTAACGTCAGGTTTGTGGCTAACGTCTTGAACATAAACTCATAACCTAAAATATGTCACGGAAAAACGTTTAGTTTTTAAAATATACTATTCGGAGCGGCAATTTTAACGTACCTGGGCGCGTGACGGGTGTTTTAAAGGATTTACAAACGGTTATAACATTAAAAAATTAACTTTTTCTCGGTGATCGTTGTTAAAACTTGTGTGCGAAGCTCATTGAGATTTGTCAACCTCTTGTCAAAATGATGTTTATGATATGAATAAGGAAGGAGTAATTCTTAGATGAACGAGTTTTATTTGGGTATTTACGTAAAATAGGTGAGTTATTTTAAAAATCTTATAGTATTAATTTTGTACGGGTAATTAACTATTGGAGTCAATAGATTAGATCATTTCGATTATGTTGAACTCCTTTTTATTACCATTACTAATTAATGTTTTTAATGATATCATCGCCTTTACGTTTTACAATTTAAGCTTACGTCTAAAAATATCGCCGTTATTCTAAGCGTATTTTCAAACACATACAGTCATAGGAATAGTTTTATTTATTAATAAACCTAAGCAAAACTGAGAAAACAGGTTCAGTTTAAAGGTGAGTAACCAAACGGTTTCAAACCTACGCTGTTTGTCAATAAGAAATCAAGACAAGGACTTGTTTGTTAGAATATGTAAAGTATTGTGATTGCAAAAATTAATTCCTACAAGTCCAAGCGGTTAAATATCAGGGTGGGAAAAAATCACGATTTCTTTATTTTAATCAAAAATCTATGATTTTTTTGATTTTTTCAAATATCTCTCAATTTAATTTTCGTACGTATCTTTTATTCTTTAACCTTGATTTTGATCTTTTCACGTAAATACGAACGCATCATTCATGGTCATTTATGAGGAAGAAAAAATAAAGTGTTTTGAAAGTCTTTCTGGATGTAATGTGAACATAACACTTGATGATTCAACGCAATCTCAAGATTAGGATCATTCCCGATAAATGGAAGGTGTCCCAGATAACTATGATGCTGAAACCAAATAAAATCACGAGCGAGACGTAGCTTCTAATAAGTTTACTTCTATTGCTTTCAACAGTCTTAGAAAAGGTCTTATTTAAGAGACTTCAGAACATCATAGTAAATAAAAAGTTAATTCCTAACTATCAATTTGGGTTTAGAAAACAGCATGGTACTATAGAACAAGTGCACAGAGTAGTGAGATCAGCTAGAGAATCCCTAGAGGTCAAAAAATATTGTACAGCAGCTTTTTTAGACGTGTCACAGGCTTTCGACAGAGTATGGCATGACGGTCTTACAGCCAAACTTATCTACCTTATCCAGTATGTATACTATTGGAATCACATCTGACGAAGAAATACTTGTTCGTTAAACAAAATGACGCATATTCCCCAAACCTTTTATACACAGCCAACATGCCTATGACAAACAACACTATGATTGCTACTTATGCGGACGACACTGTAGTTAGGGCTACTCATACATCTCCTGAAATGGCATTCTAAAACCTACAATATCACTTATGGTTGCTGGAAAAATAGCTTGAAGAGTGGCGAGTAAAAATAAATTCGAATAAGTCCACTCATATCACATTCACTCTAAAAAAGGGAATCTGTGCTACTGTTACATTAAATAATGCTCCATTACCTATTCAAACTAAAGTCAAATACCTTGGAATTTACCTGGATCATCACCTAACCTGGAAAAAAACATATATGCTTCAACTACTTTATCAATAGAAACTCACGGCTCAACCTAAGTTACTTATACATATACTGCCATACTGAAAAATGTTTAGGAATACGGTATTCAATTATGGGACACCGCTAGCGAATCAAACATTTTACAACTGCAGCGATTTCAGTCTAAAGTTCTTCGACAAATACGTAACGCACCTTGGTTCGTACCTAATTACATCGTACGTAATAACTAATAACTATTGAAGATTGAAACGCATTCTTATATGAAACAATAGATACATCTGGTAACCCCCATACAAGCCATTACTTAACAAAAATTGCTTATGGAACAATTTCATCTTGTAAAGCGAAATATAATTGTAATGTAACATCATTTATGGCGAATATGCTGCGAATATGACAAGTATGAGAAGACATAGATCAGAAGCTTAAGCTTTAGTGGTTCTGTTATAACTTATAGATGCTCAGCTCACTTTCTAAAACTTGTTGTGCAAAAAGCTTGAAGTAACTAAACTCAAAGAGAAATTGTGAAATATTTTAGAAACAATCACCTGGCTAGATCTAAGTATATGGCTTGTATATACTAATGCAAAAGTTTTAAACGATGTCGGCTGGAACAGTATGGTGGATTGTCTGCAAATACATTTATTTATTTGCCAAAAAAATATATATTATATGCAAAGTATCAGGGTTCGACTGATTTATGACTGAATCATTGATTAAAATCATAATTTAAATCAAATGATTTATTTATTTTAATCAATGATATAAATCAAAAAAATAAAACTGCACTTATAAAATTAACAAAATATTTAATACAAAAATTAACATTCATTATAATATTTATATAAGAAAACAAGTGTTCCTGTCTTTTCAACACCTTTCGTAATGTAGAGTGAACAAGCCCAAATGTTGAAAATATTCTCTCAACAGAAGCTGATGAACAAACTGCACATAAAAATTGCTTTAATATTGGTACGGATGTTAATTTATACGTAGCTTTAGTAACATATAAGCCATCTATAGGCTATGTAATGGATAGACGTAAGTGCCTGCTTATACCGTTTATTAAAAACTTTTATTTGTACTGATAATAATTTTTCTTCCAGTAATGTACTTATTTAATTCTTTCGAAACTTCCATTATGTCAGAGAGGAAAGCATTCTTTTTTTGCAATTTGTCAAGTGCTACAGTTATAGGTTTTAAGATATTCAAATAATCTTCCACCTCACATCACTTGGCAGCACTAATGCGTTTCCATCAAGCTGTCTGTATTTGGCCCTAGCAAATTAGGTATTTCTAAAATATTTTATAATTTGTGTAACGTGCTCTTTGATATTTGTTCTAAATTTTTGCAAAGTAGGTTTAGAAGGTGAGTTGTACACCCATTAGTTATCACTAAAACGCTCGGTCCGATTTCTCTTGTATGGTTCTCCTCATTAGTGCCATATTAGTAGCATCTGTTATAAATGATGTCACGTTACAGTTGTATTTTGATTTACACGAGGAAATTATATTGCAAGTAATATGAGTTAAATAGTCACTTGTATGGGGATTTCCGGATGTATCTATGGTTTCATATAAAAAAGAGTGTCTAGTTTCAGTGATTATGCTAGCGCATACTATAGGTTCATTGCGTACATTAGACCAACCATCAATAGATATGTTTACGCCACACCCGGAAAGACTTCCACAATATTTAGTTTTCTCTTCTTCATAAATTTGTTCCAAAACTGTCGTAGAAATTGTTTTTCCAGAAGGGGGATTATAACCAGGTCTTAACAATTCACTTGCGGGTTGCCCATACGTCTAAAGCTGCTGTTTGTTGCAAATACAGCTCTTGCAATTTGTTTATCTATTTCTCGTTTTTTATCAATATTCGTTCGAACAATAAAGTTTTCTAAATTTGTGTTAGAATTCCTTTTTCGTTTTTTAGATATAAAAGCCGAATCATTGTCAGCAAATAACATCGACAAACTTGTAGATGAGAGAATTGTATATTGTTTTTGTCTGTCTTAGTTTTTAGTTGCCTGGTTTATAAGTTTTTATATAAAGAATATATTTATTTTCATTTTTCTTTTGATTTAAATTATTGATTAAAATGAAAAAACTACTTGATTTAAATCATTGATTAAAATCGTGTATCAACGAAAATTTATTATTTAGATAATTTAGTAATTAATTAAAAATCTTCGCTGATGTAATTGATCAAGTTACAAAAGCAATTTGTCTTGATGTTACTTAGAATTCTTGGATTGTACCGTAAGATTAAAGTCTCATGTAACAGCTGCGTCTTCGCAAAAATAATCACTACGTAAAAATGCGGTTAGTGATTACACTTTGAAATAATGAATTGAATGCAAAATACGAGACATTAGAATTCATAAAATATTTTACATGCATTATTTAATCATGCTTAAATTACATCGTTTTAGTTTCAATTTCAATTTTTGTCAAATCTCTTTAATATTCAGTTTTAATCCGACTTTTTTGGACCCTGAATTTAAAGTTTTTGTCCCGAAAACAAGAAAAGGGAGATTATGTAAAAGTCCCACGACGAAAATGATATAATAATGGTATTGCGCAGCTCTAAGTTGCATACAAAATCTTCGAAGGTGATTGATTAGTCTAAGTCGGCGAAAACCGATCGTGTAGAAATCGAAATTTTTCTCAGTTTTTTATACTTAGGTGTATTTCGAGGCAGTTATCAAAGCCTTGATGATTTTATTATTTAGATGATTAGATAATTTATTATGATTGATTTTTCAAATGATGTCTTCCGAATAGAAATGTTCCGTATGGTGATGTCTAAAACAAGGTTTAGATTTCTTCTCTGATGTATTTCTTTTGATGAAAAAGCAATCTAATTTCAAGAAAGCACAACAGCTGTTGTAAGAGATATAGTCACTTGTTTTGTCGAAAATTGTAAGTCTTGCTATTACCCTGGTGAAAATGTAATTATCGATGAAATGCTTACAGTATTTTGAGGACGATGTTTCTTTAGACAATACATTCCTTAAAAGCCTAGTAAATATGGAATAAAAATCTTTTATATAATAATATGCAATACTAAGGCATTCTATACATACTGTGTGTCCGTAAAGTAGCTGATATAGGCGATAAAATCTTTATAAACGGTTTTTGGCAAAATCCCTGAAACGGGTCTAAAGATTTAAGACAATGCACAGATTGAGTTGATCAAGCTTTGTATAATATTGATCATAAGGCAGAAAAGTGGTAGCATGGTTGTTCTGGCATTTCGTAGATATTTCAATTGTTTATACTTATATTTTTCATAAAATGAGTACATCTCATAATCAAACATTTAAAAAGTTTACTTCATGTTGTAATTGATCTCATCCAAACATTTCAGAACAACCAACCAAATTAGCTAAACACGCTCAACCAGCAACATAAACTGCATCTTTCTGAAGAAATGAGGAACAGCAATGCCAACACATAAAGTTTTTCGATTTGGATTGGTATGGAGTATGCTGTAGCAAATTTATTTATTATTACAAAAATATTGAATTAAAATGAATTACTCTCTCTCTCTCTCTTCAGTCGTTTCATACATCGTGACTCGTTCATGGAGGTTATGTGGTGACCC